TGTCCAAGATCCCTTCAGAATAACAGAAAAACAGAGTTGGAAGGGATCTTGGAAGTCTTCTAGTCCTACCCCCTACTCAAGCAGGGAACCCTATATCATTTCAGACAAATGATTGCCCAATCTCTTCTTAAAAACCTTCAGTGTTGAAGCACCTACAACTCCTGGAGGCAAGTCATTCTACTGATTGTTCCAAATATCAGGAAATTTGTCCTTAATTCTAGGTTGGTTATCTTGTTGATAGTTTCCATCCATTGCTTCTTGCTCTGCCTTCAGGTACTTTGGAGAATAGGTTGAACCCTCTCTTCTTTGTGGCAGACCTTCCAACTCTATTATTATTCTGATTGTGAATATTCTCAGTGCACTGTTTGCCATATGAAGATACTCTTTTTAGAGGATAGATGTTATATTATAGATAACAGATAAGCAAGTTTGGAAAGGCAATGGCTGGAAATTAAAGGAGATGAAATCAAGTGTTTCTGGGCAAAGCTAGACTCTGATACAATTTTAAACTTCAGGACAAATCTGTAGGTGAGTACAGAAATTCTATTTGACCTGCAAAGACCAGAAAGAGGTCTAGGTCAAAAGGACTTGCCTGAGTAATACCAACTAATGACCAATGGGAAGTATGGGACAATATTTATACCATATTAAGTTGATTCACCGGGTGAATCTACATACCATCTTTTATTAATTAATGTAAATAAAGATGCTGCTATGGTGTAAAAAGGAAGGTTACTCATTTGCTAGCAGACCAAAATGTACTTCCAAAGCCAAATGAGGTAGTCCTGTGTGTAAAGCGAAAGGTGCAAACCAAAGAGAGCTGAAATGTGTAAAGAAAGGAGAGCTGAAATAAGACCATAAGACACAGCTTTGATTTTATTTAGCATTCATTTTACATAATGACCGAGATTCAGGTCCCAGCTGTGGCTGCTAAATGAGGGCTACCTATACTCTGCTTGCAAGGATTACATTTCTCTGTGTACAATCGGCTGTTTGGGAGAATACACAAATACATAAGAACCACCATGATGGATTAGATGGATGATAGATAAGATCAGTCAAGCTCTTTCTACAAATCAGTCCATTGGGATATTTCTAAAACTGTATTATGATCCTTCTTTATTATTACTCAGCAAGCTATATTGAGAGACCTGTGATTTCAGATATAGGAAATAGACTTCAGATTAATTCTGGCAAGACTGTGTGGTTTCAGAGGGATTGCAGAGAGGTTCCAGAGATCTATCTTTAGCTCTGACTGGTGATACATTTCCCCAATCAGTATTGGTGTCCAGTTTGGGCATTTTCCTTGACTTGGGGCTCTTGCTTGAAAAGTAGATGTTAGCATTGATGGGGGGGCAGTTTGCACAGATTCAGATTGTGTATGAATGACACACATTCTTAGACTGGGAGGCATTGCTCATGGTGATTCTTGCCTTAATTACCTCCTATTTGCAGTATTTTAATACACTCTGCATGGGACTGCCTTGAAGAGCACTTAGAAGCTTCAGTTGGTCCAGAATTCATGAACGTGGGAAATTCTGATGTTTTCATTATGCCCATAAAACATTCATGCTCTGCGACCTGCCTTGCCTCTCAGAAGGCTTCCAGGTACATTTCAAGGTGCTGGTTATCACCTATAAAGATTTACAGCATAGGACCAGACTATTTGCAGGAACACCTTTCTCCCATTCTCTCTGATAGCCCATCAGATCTAGGAGGGAGGCATGTTCTGGATCCCTTCCATTAAACATGTTGGACCCTGGAGTCATGCCTTTTCAGTGGCAGCACCTGGCATCTTCTGGAGATCCAGATGGTTCCAATCCTGTTATCTTTTTGCAAGTTGCTGAAGATATGGATGTTTCTTCAGGTGTTTAGATTAAAAAGTTAGCAACCTCAGCTGCTGTTCATGTGTTTTTAATGATTAAGGTTATTATTTTATCTGTACATGCCAAAGAGAGAATGAGAGAGAGGAAAAAATGCATTCTTGGTGTTTATGTCCTTATTATGGCCCTGGAGAATTATGGCTAGTTTCAGAAAACTATTTATTTATGTTTATTTACCCATGTATTTGTGCAAAACATTTCCCAAGATCAAATTTATATTATATGTTAGTTGTATGTATGTGTGTACACATATATGTACACAGAGACTTATTTCTAATATGTATATCTACAGCATATGGGTATAGCATATCCACATCTAGCACTGCTAGGTTTCAATTGCCCTACAGCTAAAAGTTGCACTTTCAAAGCGCACTGCTACATACTTATTTATTTATTTATGAGACTTATATACCGCTTTAAGTGCAAGCACTCTCTAAGCGTGTACACCAGTAAGCAATGTATATATATATTTACATTGCCCCCAACAATCTGGGTCCTCATTTTACCTACCCCGGAAGGATGGAAGGCTGAGTCAACCTTGAGCCGGTGAGATTTGAACCGCTGACCTGCTGAACACAGTTAGCTAAAGCAGCCTACAGTACTGCACTCTAACTGCTGCGCCACCTCGGCTCAAAACATACAATAGGTTTTTGGCACTGCTTGTGTATTGGTGCCACCGTCTTCTAATCTCATGCTGCAGTGATTGCTGGGCAACTGAGCTAATTTACTTCCAGCTCACTGGAAGTCATTTATTCCATTTTCCTGTTGCGACAATGGAGTTCTGCAAAGCTTGGGAATGAGGCAGTTTCCCATTCTTGGAAGACCCATCTCCTGGTACCTGAGCTTTAAGCTTGTGTTACTAATCCTTCCATTTCACAACAATTTTTCTTTTAATAGTGCTTCATAGGAAGCACTGACTTTAAAAACAAATACATTAGTTGGAGGGCAATGGGAAAGAAGCAATGTTTCTTGTGCACTCTCAAATGGACCAGACTGATATGATTTTGCATTTTTAGCATTTCAGTGTTGGCTGCAGTGAGAACATTCATCAGTTGGTAGGGTTTAAGGGCAGTGAGAACATTCATCAGTTGGTAGGGTTTAAGGTGTGAAAATGATGCTGCTTGAGAAGTGGGGTGTTTTTTAGTGTCTATTAAACTACTCTGGGCTTTTTTATAAAGAGCAACTGTTGATTCAATTTCTGTAATCTCTTTTTAAAACCATACAACATATGAGTCATCAGAAAATTTTGAAAATTTTCACTACACGTGGAGAAGTACCTCCTTGTATTCTTGCCATCAATGGCTCTGGATACTAGTAGTGGGAGAAGGGAAAACTCCCTCCCAGTCCAAGCATGTCTTTTTATATATTTTTCACCTTCCCTCATTTTTTTCCCTAATGGAGATGCACAACTTTCAAGGGACAAGACATGGGGGAAGGGGAATTCAAAACTTAAGTTCCACTTTAATGTGATCAAAATTAAAAGGAATGAAATATAGTTAGTACAGTAACTCCCCTGAATATCTAATCATTTCAATCCTAACATTTATTTTGTTTTGACTTCATATTTTGTACACATTTGCTTTGGGCCATATATAATCCTGGAAGAACAGGCTGTACATTTCTACATTGGACCAGAGCTAGGAGATGTTGAGGATCAGAAGTTTTGTTTCATTTGCTTGCTAGTTTTAAGAAATCCATGAAAACTGAATGAATTCTCCCCTAGTTTTATGTTCTTTCTCCTATGTCTAAACACATGGATTTGAAAGTACTAATCTGGCTCCCAATGGAACAAACTCAAATAATTGCCAGTTTACCATTTTACTAAATGCTGCACACTCTTACTCAACAAAAACACAGATTCTTCTTCTTCTACTACTTCTTCTTCTACTACTTCTTCTTCTTCTTCTTCTTCTTTTCTTCTCTTCTCTTCTTCTTCTCTTCTTCTTCTTCTTCATATTCTTTTTCTTCTTCTCTTCGGCGCGCTTCTCCTTCTCCTTCCCCCTCCGTCCTCCTCCTCCTCCTCCTCCTCCTCATCCTCCTCCTCCTCCTCCTCCTCCTCCTCCTCCTCCTCCTCCTCCTTCTTCTTCTTCTTCTTCTTCTTCTTCTTCTTCTTCTTCTTCTTCTTCTTCTTCTTCTTCTTCTTCTTCTTCTTCTTCGTCCATTCATTCTCATTCCCATAGGTAATCCTTCCCTTTCACCAGAAGAGAATAAAGAATGCAGACCTTATGTATAAATCCATAATCAAATTGACAGGTTTCATGCATGTTTCCAAAGGAAAGTCATGTCTCTTAATTTCTTAAGGGAATATGGGTAACAGACTTAAAAGCCACCCTCTCTTGGGGTTCAAAGAGATTTTGAAAAATGCTCTATTTGTTTTCAAAATGTTGGCTAATTTTCTGTCTAACACTGACACAATAAGAGATATAAAGTCCAGGACTCTAATCACCCCCCTTCTTTTTTCTCTTCTCCTTTCTTTGCAACAATCGTCTATTTTAATTAACCTAGAAATAGATTGACCCAACTGGCAAACATTTGGAAAGGTAGAAGGTTATTTTTCTAAAAAAAAATTACCTTTATTTATTGATGCAAAGCTTGAGTGGACCAGTTGTTTAAAAATATTCAAGGCGAACTACAGTATTGCTTCACTCAGTGAATCAAATGCCAATTTTATTTTTATTTACTATATTGATCAGTGAATCAAATGCCCATTTGATTCACTGATCAATTTGATAAATAAAAATAAAATGTCTTGGAAAATGGGCCAGCCCTATTTCAAACTAGAGGAGAGTAAAAGCATTATATTCCCATTAGAATTACACCTACTCCAAGAATAGTCTGATATAATTTTACAAAGAGTTTACAGCAGTGTTTTTCAAACCTGGCAACTTTAAGATGGGTGGACATCAACTCCCATGCATTCTGGCTAGGGAATTCTGGGAGCTGAATTCTATACATCTTAGTTGTCAAGTTCAAAAGCAGTGATTTAGAGGCTCACAAGGATTTAGAAAGAATGTTATGTGGCAATGATGTATGAGTACTTCAAAAGCTAGGCGTTATACAGTAACAGTTTCAAAAGATCCTTCCCAGAGATTTGTAATCCTGCTCCGTATTTTCAACTTACAGCCCAATCAAACTGTGAATATTGGAGGCATGTGTTAAAGCTTTGAGTGATTGTAAACCTAGAAAGAACACTGGCAATCTTTGCATACTCAGGTAAGAGAGGGGAGAGTGCTTAAAAGAGCCAGGTGTGGCCTGGAAGTGTGGTCACATGGAAGAGAGATATCTCTGTTAATTAACATTTATAGATTGTGGAATATATTTCTCCTTAGGGGCAGTGTATTTTTAATGTTAGACTTCAGATTTCCTCTTGTTTAGTTTTTCTGGGATGGACTGCTAGTTTATTTGTATCATTTATTCAGTATTATATAGATTTTGCTGCGATCATCTGAAATGATAGAAGTTGCTTTCTAGCCCATGTGGGGACCATCATGTTCCTGAAAGATGCTCTTGATTATGTTAATTAGACATAATTAACATACCTTAAGTTCTAAAATCTTCACAGCTTTCCATCCATCTCTGAGCATGGATCGGGTTTCTTTCAGGCATATGACTCATTTTGGGGGATGTGTTGGAACATGATAATTCCTCATCTGTTACCTGATCTCCTCAGAAGTTAGTTCCCATCTGTGGGAAATCAAAGCTTCACTTTTCCAGTATTGTGGATCTCAACTCATGTACATTCTTATACTGGTAGATTTATGACTCATGTTTCTTCAATACACTTAGTAATATATGAATAAATGAATAGTAAAGGAGTACTCAACAGATTTTAAAGCAAGCTGGCCAAGATTAGGTTCTTGTCTTTCAAACCTTTGGGGAAATATCTAACCAATACTGGCTTTCAGTGAATTTGTTGCTGTTCTTATATTGCTGTATGGTATCATCCAGAATCTGTTTTTTCTGCAGCGTTTTATTGTTTTATGGTTTCTATTTTGTATTTTTATTGCTCACTGCTTTGAGTATTCTTGAATAGAAAAGTGATTTATTAGACAAATATTTAAAGAAAAAACAGATGTGGAGAGAGTAAGTAATGCCTTGTTTTTCTGAATCCATGAGTTCAAAATTTATCCAAACTATGAACTGCCAAACTGGCCTCAGGCAAAGTCCCAGAAAAGCCTTATTACCTTATCATATCACAGAAGATACAGAAACATTTCTATTTCTTCTTCTCTTACCAAGACACATAAAAGAGCTTTATGCTGGTCTTTGACTGTAATAATATTTGATTCATAAGAGAGCTCTGTTTGATTAGTGCAGAGATCCGATATGTAGTTCATAATAGCTGTCTTAGCTGTTGCTAGTGTGGGCTAAGTATGTTGAAGATAAGTGACTTTAATATAGGAGAAAATAGAGGTGAGAAGAAAAATGAGGTGTGGCTAGAAGTTTAAGAAAATGTAGTTTTACTCTTACATGTTTGTGGTTTCAGTTTTGAACATATGTTTCATTGTAAACTGCAGAGATAACTGGATAGTCAGTGCTATAAATAAATCTGCAGAGTGAATACCATATTCCAAGAGAGAATCTCTTGATTCCTAATCTATTTTGACACATGTTATATGTTTGCTATTAAGCAAGTACAGAAGAGGGAAACTGGTGGATCCCACAGAGGAAATATATCTGTAAGGACCCACTTCAACTAACCACCCAAGAAAGCAGAACTCTTGAAACAGGCATTGTCTCAAAAGGATACTTTTATTAGGGGTCAGTGACAGTAGGGAAGTCAAAGCGAGATCTGGGAAAAATGCCAAAATGGTACAGTTAAGCAAGCAATATTCCTCCTCCCACCAAAGTCATAATGTCCATTTGAAATCCAGCCAATCCAAAGGTGGTCTGAAGAGCGGGTAACTGGCACAGTTGGTGCGCATCTCAAGGTCTTCTCCGGTTTCGTTTCTCCGTAACCGTCTCCCTGATAAGGGAAATACATTCCTTTCTCAAAGGGATGAAGGCAGGAGGAAAGAGTAGAAAGCAAAAGTGATCCCAAGCTAATGCAAAGCTCCCCCTCCCCCCAGCAGAATGGCAGGCCCCAAAAGTAGAGTATATATGCAAGAAAAAGAATAAGGATTTGGGGACCTGACAGTATCCTTTTTTCTCCTTTATTCAAAGCTTGGATCATGATGTATTTTGAGGATATATCATGATCCAAGCTTTGAATAAAGGAGAAAAAAGGATACTGTCAGGTCCCCAAATCCTTATTCTTTTTCTTGCATATATACTCTACTTTTGGGGCCTGCCATTCTGCTGGGTTTTAATTAGGGATATGCAAAATATACCGTTCTGGGGGATGGAGAATTCTAATGTTCTTTAGAACTTTCCATCCACAGAACAGTATGTTTTGCACATCTCTATGCTTAACTGATTTTAATTATAGAATTTAATTGCTTTTAATATCTCAGTTTTTAATTTTGATTTTATTTCACCATAAACCCAAGTGACCTCACTAACCTAAAGGAAATACATAAATAAGTAAATAAATATTTGGGGAAAGAATGTCTTCCTTCCCTATCCCAAATAACAGTCCAGCTTAAACAGCCTCAGAGGATGCAAAATGATTGTTGTGCTTGTTGGGGAAGGAGAAACAAATCTGAGATGGGATGAGTGAGAGATGGAGAATGGAATGGAATAGAATGGAATGGGACTAACTGGGTGGTTGACTGCAATCTTAAGTGTTCCACACTGCAATATGTTATTACCAGTCCTGATTATAATTAATAAATCTAATGTGATATTTTCCTTACCTCAGAAATACAGTTAGCAGATATTTTGTGCCTATGCTAAAACATCCTGGAGCATTCTAAGTGTAGCAGGTGACAATGCACTGGAACAATGGGGTACAAAAGCCATTGTTTTATGATCCAGAGCGAGTGGTTTTGGCTTGGTTTGTTGTTTTCAGTTAATGGATCATAAACAGGACACTGGGAAAAGATATTAAGAAATAATAGCATGTTCATGGATCACACTGTGTAGTTATGCTGTCTATGAATAAACTGAAAATGGGGAGACAGGGACATAGCTATGTTTTATAGAAAAAGTAAGGATTTCTGACAAAAGGAAGCAGACACAAATTCAAATTCTGGACTTAACTAATATATTAAAAAGATCTTTGTTCTATGTATCATTTCATAATCATAGGGCTGGAAGGGACCTTGAAAGTCTTCTAGTCCAACCCCCTGCTCAAGACAGGAGACTGTAATCTATTCCAGACAAATGGTTGTCCAGTCTATTATTGAAAACCTCCAGTGATGGAGCACCCACAATTCCAGGAGCTGTTCCACTGATTAATTGTTCTCACTGTCAGGAAATTTCTTCTAGGTTGGCTCTTTCTTTAATAGCTTCCACCCATTGTTCTTGCCCTGCCCTTAGGTGCTTTGGAGAATAAGTCTAAGAATTTTTAAGTAATTCAAATATAAAACCACTGGCATGTTGCAAAGATTGGCCTCTCGCCATGGGAATGGAAAGAATTGCTTACTAGTGGAGGCAATAGAGATCATATGGAGAATAGAGATCATATGGAGGATTACTAGAATCCAGCATGCTTTTATTAAAAACAGATCATGCCAAAGAAATCTTTCTGAGTTTTGTTTTTTGATTTTTTGACAAAGTATTAGATTAGTAGATTAATGAAATGATATAGATTTTGTGCACTTAAGATTCATAAGCTGACCAAAGCCTCCTTCTTGATAAAATAGAAAACTTGGATGGATGATCTCACTATCAGGTACATTCACAGCTAGCTGAAAAATGATAACCAATTGTTCAGCAACTGCTCAAAGTTACGGCTGAACTGAATGAGGGGAATTTACGATGAATTCTCATTGTTGCAGTTGTTGCAGTATCCCCATGGTAATATGATTGCAATTTGAACACTTGGTAACCAGTTCACAATTATGATATCATAGTATCCCACAGTCACCTTTCAACAAGGTTAACAGGGAAGCCAGCAGGAGGTTGCAAATGATGATCCCATAACCACAGGATCCTGCAATCAAGCAGGATTTGCCTTACAACAGTAACTGGGACTGCTGCAACTGCCATTGTAAGTTGACATCATGCTTTATAATTGTATTGCATAGGAATGGAGTTGCCAATTATCATTATTAAGTGAATATTACCTGTAATGCAATATGGGGCTGCACCAAAGGAGGCATAGGGTTTAAATTGTAGGAGATGAGAGTTCCATGCTACAGTGCACTGCTCAGTTTGCACCTAGAATGACATTTCCAGTTTTGGTTGCTACAGTACAAGGAAGAACTGGAAAAAGTCTAGAGAAGAAAGACAATGATGGTGAGCAGCTTGGAAACCAAATATAATGAAAAACAAGGACTGAATATCTTTAGCCTAAAGAAGAGAATGCTAAAAGGGAGACATGATAGCAATCTCCAAATACTTGAAATACTATCTCAGAGAGGAGAGTGTGCATTTATGGCCCATAGTGCCAAGGAGTAAGGCAAAAACTAATGGGGGAAAACTTCACATAGAGTTCCAATTCAGAAATAAGGAGAAAAATTTTGACTGAGACATAATAACAATGAAACAGGCTGTCTCCTGCAATTGTGGGTGTTTCATCCCTAATGATCTTCATGCAAAGATTTTTCTGGGATGATGTAAAGAGTCTAGGGGGGGGGGGTTGAACTTAAAAGACTTTTCCAATCCTATAAATTCAATGTTATGTGTTGGTTGTCAGGATCAAAATAATATGATGAAAAACCCTAAATGTCCTAGCATCTAACTATGTCTTAGGATCTAACTATGTACTCAGGAGCAGTTCTTTGAAAATTCATTTGCTTGAGATTTGACAATCCAGCCCTTGAAAGACAATTTATTTGGTACTGTTCCAATTCTACTACAATTTGTGTTAAGCCCCTTCTCTTTTTCTTTAAAAGAGTACCCAAGATGTATCTTCTTTTAATTATTAATAGATGCTTGCATAGGTTTTAATGTACATCTTTGAATTTTTGAGGGGAGTTATTTGCACTCTGTATTTTATTGACTACTTGCTGCCTTGAGTGCTCAAATCGAATGGAAGAGTGGGACAAAAATCACATAAAATAACAATTTTTGGAGCAATGGCAACCTTTATTGTATATCCCCAGCCATTCATAAAAAACCAGATTGAAGCAATATAAGGCAAAGACTGTCCTCAATTACACAATTTC